TGTTTTTCCTCTAAAAGAATATAATTTTATTATTCAATTAAAATATTATTATAAATTGGTCATTAAGTAATTAAATATTAGACAAAATAGTTAAGTGGTATGGTATAATAATAATTCAGTTCTTAAAACTTATATATTCTATCAATTTGATCATGACTTAAATTAATTTAATAAATTTAATCATTCGTATTTAAAAATTCTATCAATTTAGTACTTTTTCCTCTCTTAAATGGCATATTCTTCATTGTTCATCATCATCATCCATACTTGGTACTCTTATTAATCACTAGTTAAATTTTAAATTTAATCATTCGTATTTAAAAATTCTATCAATTTAGTACTTTTTCCTCTCTTAAATGACATATTCTTCATTGTTCATCATCATCATCCATACTTGGTACTCTTATTAATCACTAGTTAACTTTTTAATGTTAGATATTTGATTAAGATTAAATTCACATTGAAAACTACTTAAATTATTTATAAAAGCCTTCGAGTATTCTTTGAAGTTTTTGAGGTTTGGTGAACTGTAGTGACAGCGGTGGCAACCACGATGAGTGGGTGATTGTTCGACGATGGTGGAAGTAACGGTGATGATCGACGATGATTGATAATAGGCCTGTAAATGAGACGAGACAGATCGCAAGTTACTCGAGACCGACTTGGTGAATGCTCGATAAATACTCGAATTTAATGAACTCGACTATACTTAATACTCAACTCAAAAAGTTCACGAGCAACTCGAAAAGTTCTCGAGTAACTCGAAAATATAATAAATTAAGATTTAATTTTTTTTAAAAAATTATTAATAATATTAACATTTATGTGTTGATTTTTTAAATATAGTAAGGTTTTCATGCATTTAATATTTATGTTCGAATTTGAGTTTGAGACTTTAATCGAGTTAAGTTTAAGGATTTTTTTTTTCATTTCGAGCATTTTCGAGCTTTTACAAGCTTCAATTCATGATTTATAGTTTGAGTCGAGCTTGAAATTTTTAAGCTCGACAGTTTTCGAGTCGATTCGAGCTCCATTTCAGAGTTTTCGAGTCGAGTCGAGTCAGCTCAGCAATACTTGAGCTCGACTCGGCTCGTTTACACCCCTAGTTGATAATGACGGTTTGAAACTAAGAATTTTTTAAAAATTAAGATTTATTATATATATTTTTTATTTTAAAAATTTGTAAATGCAACATGTGTCAGATAAAAATTAACTCATGTAAAATGTAATTTTAAAAATGTTAATCACCTATTCTAAACGAAAAATACTTTAGACAAAATGTATAGTTTATATACTTATTTTTTCATTAAACGTAATTTTAAATTTATTTATCATAAAACAATTAGTCATATAAATAGATGATAAGATTATAATCATTATAATATAAAAATTTAAAGGTAAATGATAAAAAAATAAGATTATAACATTAACAATCAAATTTAAGAAAAAACAATTCGATAATCAAAGTGGAAAAACAATAATAATCAACTGATTAATGATACAGTTTCCCTAAATTTTAATTAACTTAACCTCTTACAATGTAATCTTTGTAGAAGATAATGCAATCATTCTAGTGTCCATTAAAAGAAAGACAAAACTATTCATTGATGTTTTTCTTTATTTATTCACTGGTTTTGTAATGTTTATTAATATTTGGATGCGTTTATTAAAAATGTATTATAATAGACTAATAAAGCGAACAATATAGATCACGTTATATATATATTTATTTTATATGTTTTTTATTACAAATTTATTTCGGCCTCTTGAAATTTTATAAGTTCAAGTTTAACTCCTATGAAATTTTAAAAGTTTAAGTTCATACCCTCTAACACAAAATCCTGCATCTATCCCTAGATAGCCTCTACTGACAAGAAAAATAAATAAAGCCATGAAAATGAAATGGATCAATTATAGTAAAATACGAATGATATGATTCATCAAGTGATCTCAATGGTAAAAAGAAAGTGTTATTCTCCTTAGAGGTCCTGAGTTTTGAGCAATTGTGTAGGTAGAACATATTACATTATCAATAGATTAAAAATCTTTCTAAACGGATTAGTACTATATTATAAACATCTCAGATTATTTAGAAAACAAATGCAATAAAATTATAAATTATAAAATTACTAGAAAACGAAAATAAAATAGAGGAACATGTTGGGCTCATATGCCCAGCAGATATGTACACTGTTGGTTGGTCTCGTGGTGCAAATATTCTGGTTCGATCTGTTGGTCGGGTGATATTGCAACATAAATGTCCACAACCCTTTTGTTGTCGCTGGCAAGATATGTTGTTGTGAGAAACTTGAATTGGGTGTCTTTAACCGATGCTTTTAACTTGCATTCAACATGTGTTTCAGAATGTCTGTTCGCAGGCTGCACAAACAAAACCAATTGCACCATCTATGGCCATTCCTCGAATCGATGTGAAGGTACGTTGATCGCTCTCTAGTTCATTGACTTGTTGCTTCTTGTAGTTATATTATTTTATTTCATTGTAAATCATGAAACCCAACATGCCATATGTTTTGTATTTGACAAAGACCCTTGTCCCTTGTCATAGGATGTATGACACTTACAACATGTGAACAGAGAAACCCCTAATCCATTTCAAAACTGCTCTTCCAGTCCTCATCTAATTCTTTTTTTCAAATTTAATTTCATATACAGTGTACTTAGGATTGAATTTCCTTATTTTATGCCCATAATTTTATTCCTAAAATGGTTTATGTTAAATTTTAATATATATATATATATATATATAATATTTTATGACCGTTTTAAATTCATTATTGTAGGGTACAACCAGGGCCGTGGCTAGGTTTTCGGGGGCCCTGTACAAATTCTTATAAAGGGCCCTATTTTTTAGATATATTCGATTTTGGGGTAATAATAGTAGCGTTTTTTGAAAAAAAAAACGTCGCAATAGGTCCATCTATAGTGGTGTTTATTGGAAAAACGTCACTATATATATATATTTTTGGCATTTTTTGGGCCTGCGCAATAATAGTGCATTTTTTTGAAAAGACGTCGCAATAGGTCCATCTATAGTGGCGTTTATTGGAAAAACGACACTATACATATATTTTTTGGAGCCTTTTTTTGGGGCCCTTCGCGGTCGTGCAGTTTGCGCCGCCCAAGCCACACCCCTGGGTACAACAGTTGAAATTGTATCGTGAGGCACTTGTGAGATGAGCTGGTAGATTCATATGAAAGTTTTCGAGGAACTTGGCTTTTGCATGATGTATTCATGATGAACTTGATTATCCAAATTTTTTGCATGACGAACTTGAAAACCCAAGTCTAACCATTATCGTGTTTGCTTTACGAAATATAAGATTTTTTTTTAGAATAATATTATTGGAATGTAACATTACTATAAGAATGTTGTATTACTTTGTTTGGTTTATTTAGCAGAAATGTAAAATTACAGTGTTTGGTTGAAAGAACATAAGATTATTTTACTATATATTTTACAAAATTTTCCTTGTGGTATATATATTTATTTAAAAAAAGTTAAACTTTAATATTAAATTATAAATATTTGAATCAAAATTCATTGAAATATTTTAATCATGATACTATCTAACTTTTGAGAAAAAATATATTTAAAATATAATTAGTGTATTAAACTTATACTTTTAAATATTTTTCATAAACATCATATTTATTTATATAAAATATAATATAATACGAAAAATAATATTATGATATCCAGTGGACAATGATATTATTTTCAATGTAGAAGCTATGGTTTTTAATAACTTAAAGTTAGAGATTATTTTAAATAATTATATTTTTACAATCATATTATTTTTACCTCATAAAATTATAAATAATTAATATATTAAATATTAAAAAATATAAAAATAATTTTAAACACTCAAATTTATTAATATTTTACTAAATTAAAATATTTATATATTATTATTATATTTATAATTTTGAGTAGAGTACATAAAATAAGAATTGAAAATGATCATTTTAAAAAAGAATTCATTAGTATACTGACATTCTTATCCAAAGTAATAGAAATTATTTAATATCTATGAATTTGGAGATAATGATATTTCATTCATTTTAACCAAAAGATGCTACTATGAAAAAAATATTCTCTAATAATAATTTTTTCCGTAAATTAGACGTGAAAATATAATTTCAAAAAAAAAAGATTATTTCATGGAATTCAACACTGTCTTAAAATTTGGTTTTCCAAATTAGTTGGGAATTGTTCCCAGGGTAAACGTGTAATTCTACGTCCTTATCTTTTATTTAAAAGGTGGACCATCTTATTATTTAATTGTAAAATAAAGGTGTCCTTAAACATAGGGTTGCATTAATCTTATCTTTATTTTCAAAACGGGACAAGGCAAATCTGACTTGAGTTTGTCAAAATGAAGGTCGAGTTGATGCCGAGAATGAACCTGGATGGGTTTCACACTTGTACTTAGTCATAGCCACGTGATTTTATAAAATCTAATCACATTGATTTCCTTTTTTCCACGAGTATATTGCAACCACGTGGTATTACTTATACCATCTAGCCTCTCCCTTTCAATCTTGAAACTTCAACTCATTTGCACTTCATCCCTCCACCCACTTATGGAGCTAACTCAAAGAGTTTCATTTATGTATATAGGATAACTATAATTAATCTCCTTTGCCTTATCCATCACCCAACGACTAACATACGAGTACGACCAAGAAGGCAAAATCGTACGTGTAGAATTCTTGCACGTAAATAATGTTTAATCACTTATCCATCTGATTTGGTTTCCTTGGAACATGAATTTTCTAATAGAGGAAGAGATACGTTTCCCAACATTTTTGTTTCCAAAATAGAGAGGAAAACGTGACTGGATTCATTGTATTTTGTTTTAAGACAATTAAGGTAAAGCCAGGTCAGATCTCTAATTGTCATTAGTACCAAAATTAATTAATTTTTAAACAAAGCCGGCCTTTGTTTGAGTTCTCTGCTTTTATTTATAGCTTCAAATCCTCCACATCTCTTCACAAAATCCCTCGTTAATTCCCTCTCTCTCAAATCAATCTTTGGTTTACCGTATTGAATTAACTATGGCAGGAACCCAGAGCCGTGGTCATGTTTTCGCCGGTAAGAAAAGAGGTACGGCGGCCGATGACTTTGACGTGGACGATGTTTTCGTGGCAAAGAAATCAATGTTGCCCACAATGGCAACGGAAAGCGACCCTGCCGCAGCATTGGCCAACGCCCGCCATGAATTCGGAGAGCATGGTGGCGTTAACATGTCCATCGAAGCCTCCGCCACCTTCACCGTCATGGAACCTGAAACCATGAGCCGTATGTTCGCCGGTGAACTCGGCCCCGATCGTGATTTCTTCATCTACAGCCGTCATTTCAACCCCACCGTCTTGAATCTTGGCCGTCTCATGGCAGCCCTCGAAGGGACCGAAGCTGCCTACTGCACTGCTAGCGGTAATTAATTAATCAATCCTCTCTCGTACGTTGTTAAAAAGAAAAGTTGTCGTTGATAAATGATTTGGTTTCGCGATGACAGGTATGTCGGCTATATCGTCCGTGCTGTTGCAACTCTGCAGCAGCGGCGGGCACGTGGTGTCGTCGAGGACGCTCTACGGCGGCACCCATGCTCTTCTAACGCATTTCTTGCCCAGAGCCTGTAACATCACGACCACGTTTGTCGACATCAACGATCTGGAAGCAGTGAAAAATGCCATCGTCGAAGGAAGGACCAAAGTCTTGTACTTCGAGTCGATGTCGAATCCCACGCTCACCGTGGCCAACATTCCCGAGCTAAGCAGAATCGGGCACGAAAAAGGAACCACGGTGGTTGTGGACAACACCTTCGCCCCAATGGTTCTTTCCCCGGCTCGGCTCGGTGCTGATGTAGTTGTTCATAGTATCTCCAAGTTCATCAGCGGTGGGGCCGATATTATTGCAGGTTCGTTTGTCGTATGTTTCTCAGTTTTTTTTAGTACACGTGCCAGATGTTAATCTTTCATTGTTTTGTTTTGTTTTTAGAATTGGAATCTTAGAACGTTAAACTCGGTTCAAAGCAGCCAAACCAAAGTTTGGCCTTTGTGGTTGTGGGTGGGTGCTTAGACATCTCGTGAATGGTGCGGTGCCATTACTGATATATATATATTTATATATATGTTCCTCAATTCTTAAACTTCTATAAATTTATCACTCTAATATGAAATTCATGTCGACATCCTGAGTCGACATGGGTTTAAGAAGGTCTTACTCAACCTCATAAAATTCCGATCCCTATCTAATATGAGTTTAAGAAGGTTTTACCCAACATGAATTTTGACTGATTTTTAGGTCAAAATCTACACCCGTTTGATATATATATATATATATATTATTAGGTTGAGTTTTTTCATCTTAAACTTAATTGAAACTCAAAATTTTAAAAATAAAAAATTAAACTGAGTGAACGGATTGGGCCGAAACCTATCGAGTTCAGATGAAATATCCATCCTACTATCATTAATCTCAACTGTTTATTTTTGTTTATCCAATAATCTTAAATATGTGTAAAATTATTTTTTTTTACCTCTATAATTATATCCTATCCATATATGTATTAATGTATATAGTTAAGTTTCGTTTTCTAGCGAATAAAGATGTTTGTCATGCATGTGAGTAGGTGCTGTTTGTGGCCCCGCAAACCTGGTGAACTCAATGATGGATCTCCATCAAGGCGCCTTGATGCTTCTAGGCCCGACCATGAACGCCAAAGTCGCCTTCGAACTGTCCGAAAGGCTTCCTCACTTGGGCCTGAGAATGAAGGAGCACTGCCGCAGAGCCATGGAATACGCCATCAGGATGAAGAAACTCGGCCTCAAAGTCATATACCCAGGCCTCAAGGATCACCCACAGCACCAGCTCCTCAAGTCCATGGCCGACAAGGAATACGGGTTTGGCGGGCTTCTTTGTGTCGACATGGAAACCGAAGAAAGAGCCAACAGGCTGATGCACCACTTGCAGAACTACACTCAGTTCGGGTTCATGGCGGTTAGCTTGGGTTACTACGAGACTCTCATGTCCTGCTCCGGCAGCAGCACCAGCAGTGAAATGAACGCCGAAGAGAAGGCACTTGCCGGCATTTCGCCGGGGCTGATTAGGATGTCCATTGGATATATTGGGACACTGGAGCAGAAGTGGAGCCAATTAGAAAAGGCACTCTCTATGATGAAGGATTCCACCATGTTCAATAAGAACTAATGGTTCTCTGGTGCAAGGTCTCGTTCATGTTATTTCTGTTGTTAAAGACCGGTGGCTTTTGCTTTATATAATGTTTTCTTTTAAGAAAAGTTGGCTAATTGGCCTCATACAAATTTAGCATGGTCCAATTGAGCAGATTTGAACATGACGAGCAAGCATGGTACATTTCTTCCACATGATGGGAAAGCTCATTAGCATTAACAAATCCGCATAACAAAACTACCCCCATCGTTTGCACAAATGATCACTTTGCCTCGTATCTTTTTTTTGGAGCATTTTAACGCTAATGTTTTATTTTGGAGTAAAATGCCCTCGGGCGGATTAAAATCGTTAGTTGATTAATGCTTCCTATTGATGTGGCAGGTCCACTTGTGATGCCACGTTATCAAAAAATATTCTTAAACTATTTTAAAATATATTTTATAAGTGTATATGTAATTAATTATAATTATAGTTTACTCTAAAAATAATTTTTTGTTGAAGTGACATCGTACATGGACTTGCCACGTTCATATGAAATACTGATAGTTAGTTAACTACCAATTTTATCCAATCAGAGGATATTTTGCTTCAAAATAAAACGTTGAGAGTTAGAATGTTCTAAAAAAAGATAGGAGACAAAGTGACCATTTATATAAATGTTATGGTTAATTTTATTATTATGACTAACAAATTCTAGAAGTAACCAAAGAAGCTTCACTTGAAAAAGAAATGGAACAATTACATAACTCAAGGAAATTCCAACTATGCTCTTCAAATATTAATTTCCTCACTTATAAATATACTTTTAGGCTCCAATGCAAATAATTTTTAAATAATTATTCAAAATTTGAGAAAATAAGTTTAAATATATTTTTATAAAAAAATCAAGACTCGGGTACCAACTTTGAAGTAATAAATCAATCAAAACTGAGCATTTGATTGAATCGAGTTAAATTAAGTGAAAATATTTTTAAGTTAGTCAATTTGATCGATCATGTTTTAACTCATTTTGAAGGTTTTTTTTTTCAAAACGATTAGAGTAACATGAAGTTTGAGAGTTAAATTGAGTCGGATAAAGTTGTCCTAGATGAAATTTAAAGGCTTAACTATACCTAAGATCCTCGAACTTTTGAAGGAAAAAAAAATCAAAGAGACCCTTGAATTTACTTCACACCCAATGTAACCCTTAAATAGATAAAAATAATACTTTGATCTTTTAACTAGCGTAAAATAAATTAATTATTATAGTATTAATATGACGATTCACAACCTATTATATATATAAAAGTGTTACTATATCATAATGTAAGGATAAAAATAATTTCTAAAGCGATCACCATTGATAATGCTCCATCTTTCAAATGCTATTTGACTACAAATTTACACATAAAACATTTTCCACACTCTAGTTATACACCTGAAGTGTTTTAAGTAGGTCGTTTACTACATCATAACCCTAATTTTATAGTTCCAGCTGGCCATAGCACCGACAACAATAATTTTGGTCAATAAACAATCATTAATATAATTAATGTAGATTTTAAATCCCTAATTCCGTATCTCAAAAAAATATTTAATAGATTCAACTCACCACGTTATCTATGATCTCAATGAATGAACACTACAAATTTTGAAGTAATTTTCAAATAATTAACAACTTTTTATTTACATGTTAGAAAGATACGAAGATTTTTACTTTAAAAAAGATAATATAAAAAATGTTATTAATCGAGTCACGGATAATATAGTTAACCAGTACAATCTAATAATTTTTCCTGTCTCAGTCACAATGTTTCCCATCTTATCGCGTTCAATCAATTACTTATCGATCAAAGAAGGATGTAAATCATGGTGATAATCAAATGGCAGACCGTGCTTTATATTCTTCAAAATTAAGGTTGTAAAAACAATAATTAGTTTGCGGGCATCTAGGCTTTACAAACAAGATTGTTTCGTGTCCTAATGATTCATAATCAAATTATTGTGGAGATTTAAAATGCTCATAAAAAGAATTTACTTATAATCGTTTTTTTTGTCTCGCTGTTTATATTTATATTTAATGATAAATGTATGATTTTATGTTACGGAACAAATTAAGTTATAAAATTCTAGAGAAAAAAATTAAAAGTAGAAACATATTATTAATAAAAAATATATAAATTATATGAGAATTTAAAAAATTTAGGAGTCAATTGTCCCTGCAAACCCTCCTTCGATCCATCCCTACGTATATTATGGAGTCAAATTCAGATGTTTGGATCAAGATAATATGATAATAGCAAGGGTATTAGAATTGTATAGAGAAAATAACCTCAGTGACCGAAAATGCCTTATAATATACGAATTTAACCAACTTTTTTTAGATTTGCCAAAATGACCAACAAATTCGCAACGCGAACTCCAATTTCGCAACCCAGTTTTCAATTTTGCAACGCGAATATGTAAATCGCAACGCGAATTTGTAAATCACAACGCGGAAGTCAAATTCGCAACGCAATAGTCAAATTCGCAACGCCAAAGTCAAATGTTTTTATGTGAAACACAATATTAATTTCGCAACACAAATGTAAACAGTATTATCGCAAATCATCTCTAACCTAAAACCCTAAATCACAACTCAGTCTTATCTCCATCTCTCACTCTCTACGGCGACATCTGTCCTTATCTCCGATGAAATCTGTCTATCTCTATCTCTCATAGCAACCCTCACAACCATTCACGGTCAGAAATGGAAAATCAACCACCGAGGGTTAGTTTTTTTAATCTCTTATTTTTATTTTGAAATTTTTGTATATTATTAGATTTTTTTTATATTGATGATAAATATACTGGTAATTTCAATATATATAGTTAACCATTTCATTGAGATTGCTTAGTAAATTCATTTGGTTGCTGCCAATACTGTTAAATTGTTTAGTCCTTAACCCTGTGAAGTTAGTATTTGTCTTTGTTTTGTCTTTTTGTTGAAGAAACCCTAAATCGCAACACCAAATTCTCAACGCGATTTTCATTTTCGCATTGCGATTTTCATTTCAGAAACTTCTTTTATTCTGCAAATTGAAACTTGAATGAATTGCATTACTTCAACCAAAAAACAAAGACAAATACTAATTTCACAGTGTTGCTAATTTAAGTTTCAAGAATAAAACTACTACTTTTTATGTTATCCTTGAACCTGCACTAAACCTATATGTTGTCCTTTTAAATGTTTATATAAGTGCTTACTTCTGGAATGTTATCTGATGCATTTTGTGAACTATGATGGAATAATGACTTGGGTGAATACCGTGCTAGTTTGAAACATATTTGGTTTGTTTTCACTGTTTAATATCATGTCTGTTTATAGTGTATAATAAGGAGTTTTTGGTATATCTAACTGTATGTTTATTGTTTTTGTAGAAATTTTTTTCGGTTGCATTGACATTAAGGAATAAATTAAGCCTAGCCACTAAAATTGCGTCGACGTTTACACCTCTACAAAGAAAATTGTTTGAGGATACTTGCTTCGGGCCATGGCTGAAAGTGCAACATACGGGTGGAGATGCTATGTTGACACATTTGTTTCTTCAGACCATGACTAACGATCTACCCGAGGGGATACAATGTGGTGATGAGGAGATATGGTTTCATTTTCCTCCGGCACATACTTGTTTTGGACGGGAGGAGTCTTGCTTAATCACTGGTCTACGCTTCAGACACGATGATGTAGGTCGGTACACTAGTCATATCGCCCGCCCATCAAGGTTATCTCGGGTTTTTCCTGAGCTGGCAAAGTCGAAGCCGAGTTTACACGTCGACGACTTGAAGAGATTATTTGATAAAGATGGTTTTACTCAGATGGATGACCTTGATGTTGTCTGAGTATGCCATTTATTACTTTTGCATGCCGGTTTTTTAGGTAAAGAGGGCAGACAACCTATCTCTGAGGACCTAATATTATTGGTAGAGGACCTAAATGCATGGAACATATTTCCGTGGGGTTCATATCTATGGAAAGCTACCTGGAAGAAGTTGTCGTCTACCTTTGAGGACCGAAAAAGTTTGTGGGGCGATGGTTCTAAATACACTTTGACAAGCTTTACTTGGGCCTTTAAAGTAAGAATTTATATATAATGTTTCCAAAATTATAATTAATTATTTAACAATTACTAATGTTTGTGTATTATATTGTTTGTAGATTTGGATATTTGAGGCTTTCACCAGCATGCAGACATATGCGATAAAAAGATCAAATGATATTCCTAGGGCTATTACCTAGAAGAGGATCCGCATGTTGGATTGGGAAGAGTTACTCCCATATACGACGATGAATGATGTAAGTTAGCACACAAATACCATATATAAACAAGTTATTACTAGTACAAGTTTAACTTTGTTTGAGCTTTTATATTGTTAGGAGGCCAACTATCCATTACAGAGGCTGACACCCACAGAGGCTGAGCTTGCCACTGATTGGTGGCAAGCTAGTAAGCGATTTTTTGATGGGACAGATGATGAGCACCCCTTACTTCGAGAGTCATCACCTGATCGGGCCGATTCTATAGCTCGACACCCAGAGCCATCACCTGATCGAGCCTCTTCTCCACCTCCACCATCACCTATTCCATCACAGCATCGAGCCTCTTCTCCACCTCTACCATCACCTATTCCATCACATCATCGAGCCTCTTCTCCACCATCACCTCATGATAGGCGACCGGCAAAGAGGCCACGACATTTATCTCCCTGTTCTCCACCTCCACGGGATGAGTTAGGGGAATTATGTGATGAGGTCGGTGCTTTGCGTCATGAGGTCAGTACTTTACGTGAAGATAATGGTGCATGGCGTGATGAGGTTTGATCTTTACGTGGTGATGTGGATTTTTTACGCGATGACAATGGTGCGCTACGCGGTGAGGTATCTACTTTACGTGATGAGGTTGCCGCTCTACGCGAGATTGTTTTATTGTTGCAGAATGAGGTTCATACACTACGCAATAAGGTAAATTTGTTTAATACTATAATAAAAATGTAAATAACCTTTTTTGACATTATTTATTTATTTATTTACTGATTTATGTATTAATTTATTTTCAGCGGCCCGATAAGGTAGATGCTTTACGTCGGGTTTTTCTTGCACGATGGGGTTTACACATCAGACGTCGTGCACGTGTCATTACGTCTCTGTTTACCC